TACGTGTTTTGAATGAAAAGGTGAAGCATGTCCTGTCCCAGGCTGAGAACATAGAGATGGCACACCTGCTTGTCAAGAGTCTAACGTTAATGTCCCACTTCCAGGAACATGAAGATGGACTGGTTTTGCATGCAGACGTAAGTATTTAATTTTCTTCTTTCCACTTCACTAAATTATATTATGTATTCTTATTTGTTTATTGTGTGTTCTCTACAGGTTACTGCATCTGATGTTGAGAAGACACACAATCTGCCTGCCAGTCCTCGTCTGATTTTGCTGGGTTAGTGTGTCATTACATGTGATGAAGTAGAAACATTTACTAATGGTTGAGATATAAAATTGTTAACATTGCTATGGTACACGATTGTTAAAATTAAATTTTCTTGAAGGTAGTTCTTTGAAATGAGTTGTGAAAAAAATGTGTTAATTGTTATTGTTTTTATTTATTTATTTATTTTTATTTTAGGTATGGCAGAGCCGGCAAATGCTGTATGGTAGATGATAAGCCTAGAGGGCTGTGTTATTTGTGAGTGTGTCCAGTCAACATTTTTGACTGCAGTTGCAACAGTGTTTGCTGTGTACTACATCTTCAACCTGCAGTATCAAGAGGAGGCTTGTTGCACGTTAGAATTTCTTCAAAGGTAAGTATTTTCCTTTTTGCTTATGTTTTTTTTCACTCTCTTAGAATCTATGGTAACACTTTATAATAAGTATACAGTAGTAAAGTAGTAAATAATTTGCAAACTAGTTAACTCATAGCCTTTCTCCTGTGTTCTCCTTGTGTTCTTCCAGTGTCTGATGTGTGAATAAAACCGCATTTCAGTTCATTATCTGAAACACTGCCAAATGTGGTTTTATTCACATGCCGAAGTCGATTACAAGATACAGGGATCTGAAGTAAGTGTGTTTTGCTTGATTATCTGAAACAATTAACTTATTTGCACAATCTTTATATTTGCATTTTGCATTGGCGCCAACCCAGTGTGGTTTAAAATGGAGGATTTGCTTAATTTGCATTCTTGTTCCTAAGTTAGGCGTGTGTAAAGTTGGCATATATTAACCTTATATATAGGGAAATCGAAAATAGGCGTGTAAACTTAATTTTACTAAGGAAGCATATACACTTGCCGCCTTTTGCATGAGCACTTGACTTGATCGGTGGAGGATGGGTAGAAACGTTTGCTTTTTCGGAGTGACGCATTCTCAGTGGAAGTGTTGCGCGGATTTCATCTTAACAAGTCGTATCTAAAGCGATTTAGAGTGTAATCTAAATATATTCTAACTTATTGTTTATTAAGTGGGCTTTGTATATGAGCACATTTTAATCGCAGATTTTGCACTGTCACAATAAATCCAAACAAGGAGACAGCATCTATATAGATAATTTGCAAATGATTTATACGTGCTTTGTTACTGTATACTTATTATAAAGTGTTACCAAATTAATCTAAATTCTAAATCAAATGAATTAATCAGAATTTTAAGAAATGGTTATTGTATACTTTCGTAATTTGTAATGCAACTGCCCTTAGACGCTTCATTGGAATAAACCCAGAAAGAGGCTCAAAGACCTGCAGAGGCAAGGTAGTCTCCAAGAAGACGGGGAAGGTGGCGAATAAGAAATCTGCTACAGTCAATCCAAAGGTTGCCTCTCGATGCAAGCTGTTAATCAGTTAAGTTGGTCCACTAATGTTACTCGAATGCACCGTTACCTCTCCATCCTCTAATCACTTGCCGGACTGGTCACCCCACTTTGTTCCGGGACCTCGCAATTTACAAATTAAGCACTGCTCATACTAGTGGTGTGGAAGAAACTTGTTATTTTAGTCGAAGCGTAAAAACGAAATTTAAAAGGTAAAATAATATAAAATCATCAGTCGATTCAAAATAATGATGTCGACTAATTATCAGCGTCGACGCAGTTGATTATATCGAGCAATTGTGACAGGCCTATTTACAATAAATCTTGAACTGATAAGAATAAATTATACAATTGGCAATTAAAAAGAGAAAAGAAGCATTTTCCACTTCTATGAATAAATTAAACATTTTATGTGAGTGCTCTTCACTGAAAAAAAAAAATAAAGATTTACTTGATAAAATCCTCGTAACAATTAAGTAGATTTAAGTAAATTTTACTGCTCTAATATAAAGTACAACTCACCTGTCATTATCAGGTAAAATCTACTTAATATTTAACAACACTCATGAAGAAATTAAGTAAATCCGTTTTATTTTTTCCCAAATTCCGTTTTATTTTATTTTTTTCAAAATTCCATTTTTTTGTTTACATTTTTCCAAATTCTGTTTTAATGGTTAAAATACATTTTAGAAATCAAATAGCATGTCCAATTAACTGAAATCATGAAACTTATTCAGTTTAACAATTTATTAGTACATTTTTTAGGAAATAAGAATTTTTTTTTTCTCAAATTCCATTTTTATTCCGGTTACAATTAAAACATGGAAGAACAATTGTGTAATTATTCCTTAAACATAATTTTTTATTATTATTATTACTACTATAATTGTTATTTTTATTATATTACTTTGAAAACGACATATTCTACTGTACAATAGTGATATATTTCTGTCACAATTACTTCACATTAGACCAAACTTTTAGATGAGAAGAAGCTTTATATTTTTTTGTGTGTGTGTGTGTACATGAAATGACGATAGTTTTTCACAAATAAAACTGTAAAATGCTGGTAAAGCAGCTTTCAAAGAAGCTCTTATGTGAAGTTCATGTATTCCTGTCATCATACGGTGAGAAAACAGGCGCTGAAAACACCACAAGCATCATGTGTGCTTCAGTATGTTTGTAGTAAACAAAACCACGCGTCTGCGCCATTCATTCACACAGAGACACACAGAACATGCAGTAATAATATTTAAATAGTCTTTTTGCGGTTTAATATTCACCTACACTAATCCACATCGCGATTTCAGTAGGTGTACAACACTATTTTAATGTATTCATCCAAAATTTCACTAATTCCGTTTTCATGACTGGATTCGGTGATTCTGTCCGTGTTTTCCACATCGTTGAAATCATAGGGCCCTAAGTTACCGAAATGTTTGTGTAGTATTATATGTTGCTTTTTGTCATGTTCTTTTGACATTCTTTTGATGTTATTTTAACTTACAAAGCATTTTTTTCAATGTTTATGTTTCAGACTACACCTGTCCCTGGCTACACTTGCATCAGAGTTGGTGAGTTTTATGTTTCTGAAACGTTCTTGGACTGTTCTGCAAATCCTTACCAGGTTTTGACTTTTATTACACCAAAATAAGATTGTTGTTCAGAAGTTGTTTGCCATTTCTGAAAGGCTGTTTTTAGGGGAACGTACACTCCAAGCCCATGCCCATGCTATGTCATACTCATAGCACACAGATACACCTTAAATGGCAGCTTGTTTTGTGGTTATATAGTCAACTTAAATCGGTTTAAATATGTCTACAGACTTCTGCAGGGTTCATTTTGCACATTGTCTGTTTTGTAATGCTATGGTTCATTTTTCTTCTCTCTTCATCTCATCTTTCTCTAACATACACAAAGACTGATTCTTTCATTGGATTGCAAATTGATTCTTCCATTTTGATTGCTTTTTTGAAAAAGCATTTGAATTATTGCTTGGGCACTTAAATAAATACTGTGCTATAAGAAATACCCTCTTGGTCTTCTCTTTTCTGTGTATTTGCTGCCACTTTTTTTGTATAAATGAAATTACAATGCCAGTTTGTGAATTTGTTCAAGTACAGATATTTATAATAAAGTTAATGATTAGCAAAATTGCCAGTTCTTCCGTTTAATTAAAGAAAAAAAAAATAAATCTAGAATACAGTAATGAAGCTGTAAAATTACGGTACACTGCTGGAAACCCTGCTGCCAGTATATTACCGTTAATTTACAAAAAAGCCGTAATTCAGAATACCGGGAATTTTTTTACAGTGTAGTAATAGTAGTAATAATATTAATTACATAAATAATACAATATTGAGTTAGTCATAACAGTTAGACATAATAAATGCAAAGCTATTTTGCATAAATAATAATAAATCTGTTATCGGCCATTTAAAAATAAAATGCTCTGTATCAGTCATATATAAGGCATGGGCCGATTACCGGTTTCAAGGTATACTACGATTTGAAAATGTCACCATTTCAAAAACGCTAATATTTTCCGTTATACCGTTCCTGCGGTATGGAATCCCTCAGGTTGAGTGCAGTGTAGAGAGTAACACGCCCCTCCTCCTCCTGTTGGTGCGAGCGAGCGGTCAGTCACATGTGTGTAGGATGGCTTCCCCTTGTAGTAAATCAGCTCAACAGGGAAATATTTATGACTAATTATA